TGTTATGCTGTCTATAAATTCAACGAAAGCTCCATTCGATGGATTACTCGATCATTCTTCAGGTATTAGAAGCTTGATATTTCATGAAATGTTGTGCAGTGGGGACAAAATTGAGGAAATAAACATATGGGGCCGTGTTTCCAAAAACGGTACGGCACTGTTTATGGTTGTTGACCATGGCATGATTATTAATGTTAAGATTCCACAAAGGGTAATTTGTTTACTTCTTCCTTTTGACATATCCTTCGATATTTATTCAACATTAAATACATCCACTCACCCATGTTAATGAGTCAAACTTCACAATTGCTTGTTTTAATAAACTTTAATTCATTGCTAGAGGCAATACATCTGGCAACGCTTTTTCAATGATACATTTACGATTGCTGGCAAAGCGCTTAAGTGGTTTCCTTAGTGTTCAATTTTGTTCACCAAGAGTTTTGAGTTTCATGTATTCGATTGTGTCTAGTAAGCAAGTAAGTAAATACAATGAATGTGCTTTAGCCGGGAAGTTTTCGTTCTAAAATCATGAAATACATGTGTTAAATTTTTGTATTAATAATTTGTGAATGTATGTGTATACTTATGATGATGATTGGAGAATATTCAAAAATAAGAAGAATACAAATTTAATTGTTGAACCTTAACAAACTCCACGAAGCTGGTCAGAGCTGACATAATCTGGTCTAGAATCAGCAGCTACATAATATACCTCAATCAGAAGTCAAGGACCAATTCTATTGACCACGAAGGACGTTTAAAGCTCAGGTTGTACCTCAGTTTACCGAAAAGGAGCATTCCCCTTTTGGAACGGGTCACTCCCGTCACTCCTGTATCGTCCTAGGCCATGTCAATCCTTACCAACGAGGGAAGGCGCATGAAAAGCATCCAAGTCACACACGAACGACAAGCCTCGTAAAACCGTCGTGCAGTCAAACCACCACAAGAGCATTTCGTTTGTCCACAATTCGATTTGTTAAACGAGCGATTAGATCTTTCAAATATTATTTCAAACAAAATATGCTGTGAGACGATATTTTCGTTGATTAAAAAATCGAGACTACTTTGATAATTGTTGAGTAAATATGAGTAACTCAAATTTACTCGCTGCAAATATATTTACTCTGAGTACAGCTGTCTTGCCCCCAGCTCACAGCAGTATTTCGAGCGACAGTTGTGGGCGAAGTGATCGCTGCGGAAACAGTTGCTGCATAGCTTCTTGTCTGCCACTAACTTCATGCGGCCTTTTGCGTCGAGACCGTTGAATACGGAGCAGTCGAAGATGAAGTGCATCTGCCTCTCACAAGCAGGACAGATCGGGAACGATTTCACCGTAATTTCAGTTGCTTCGTTGGCGCTGAATCGGGGCTGGTTGAATTTCTTCAGAGGAGAAGGATGATTGATGGGGTTGGGATTAGCATGCTGCGGTTGGTTTATCGAGATCGTCTCCGGAATACGGGCTCGCTTCTGAAGAAACTCAACCATTTGGGAGTACGTAGGGTGTGCCTCTGTCACGATCGATTCTTCCCATGCAGTAAGCAACGTATAGTCCAACTTGTCCTCGAGCAACAATGAGGATTGAACTGAAAATCCGATGAACAGCTTCCACAGTAGCGCTTGCATGTGCTTCTTGCGCAGAATGGCCTTGTTCGAGTACCGATTGACCAACGTTTCCCAGGCGACAGCGTAATTGTTTGCCGTTATCGTGATTGACTGAATCAAGATGGCAGCCTCTCCCTTCAGGGCAGCCCGGAGGTAATAGGAGTAATGGAACCTGCGATATTTCCGTGGATGAATGAATCATCGACAAGAACGTGTCGTAAAACGCCAGCCAATTGATGAAATCGCCATCGAAGTCGGGTTGGTAGCATCACATTGGCGAGAGTAGTAGCAGCAATGTTGAGCGTATAAAGTTACCACAGGGGCGCTGAGCCACTGAACTGAAGCTGTCAAAACAACGAAGAGAAAGTGTACCACCTTCTGCATTAACCTTTCTTGTTTTTCTAACGTCGCAATAAATAACACGTTCATCGTAATCAGTAAAAGTATATTTCACGTTATTTCTTGTGTTCAGTCGAGAATCGTGGAATTCGGTCGATTAGTGGTGAAATTTGCGGAAGTTTGGATCGTTTCGTTCGCGGTGTTTTTTGCGGTCAGCGATTCGGCTGATTGTTTTGCTCGTGCAAGGTGCCGGTCGTAAACAAGATGTCAGATCCGGGCAAATTTGCGATTGCCAAACTGGGGAACAACAACTACGCTAGTTGGAAGTTCCAAATGGAGATGTTTATGATCCGGGAGGAGCTTTGGCAAGTCGTGGTGGATGCCAAACCGGAGCCTGTAACTGATGCTTGGCGGAAAGCGGACAGAAAAGCCCGTGCCACTCTGGGACTCTGCATCGAGAAGAGCCAATATGTGCTAATCAAGGATTGCGATAGTGCGAAGGCGGTGTGGGATGGTTTGAAAGCATACCACGAGAAGTCAACAACAACGTCCCAGCTGTCTCTTCTGAATCGGCTCTGTGATGCAAAGGTAGGCGAGACTGGAGACGTTGAGAAACATCTGCTGGATAAGTTGTTCGAGTGCTTGACGAATTCCGGATTGGAACTAGCGGAGAAGCTGAAGATTGCCATGGTGTTGCGGAGCATGCCAGAATCGTATCATTTCTTGGCATCTGCTCTAGAGGCGCGCCCGGTAGAGGATATAACGCTTCAGTTGGTTTGGTCGAAGCTCTCGGGATGAGTATCAGAAGCGCTTGGAACGGAGTGGAAAATCGGCCTCCGGTGAGCAAGTTTTGAGAACGGAGAAAGTAAACAAAGAAAAAGTTTGCTTTTTCTGTAAGAAATCGAGGCATTTCAAGAAGGATTGTCGGAAGTGACAGAGTGTGAAGGAAAAGTACGGCGATGGAGGAGAACCTTCCGGGGGCAAACCAGGTAGCAGTCATCAGCATCAAGCTAAGGCGAAGCAAGCGAAGGCGGCGCATGTCGGGGATGAAACCTGCGGTGTTCGAGAGGATTCAGAACGAGGATCTGGCAACAGGAATGAAGCTAGTGAACTGCGGTGCGAACATTGTATGTGAAGAGTGTATGGAGCGCAAGATGACTCGTTTGCCGTACCCGCAACAGGCAGAGAGGAAGACGACGCAGCCGTTGCAGCTAATCCACACCGATCTGTGTGGACCGATGAGTAACGTCACACCCGGTGGCAGGAAGTACTTTTTGCCACTTATAGCAGGTACGTAGTCATGTATTTGCTAAAAGATAAATCCGAAGCTAAACAGCACATTATGAGTTTCGTGCGACTGGTTGAGAACCAGTTCGGTAGAAAGCCACAGATAACTCGTTCTGACCGAGGCGGTGAGTTTGTCAATAAGGAGCTTGACAAGTACCGAGAAGAGGGTATTCAGATGCAGCTGACAGCGGGGTATGCTCCACAGCAAAATGGTGTGGCGGAGCGGCGAAACCACTACCTGCAGGAGATGGCGGTATGCATGCTTCTCGATGCCGGACTAGACAAGTGGTATTGGGGAGAGGCAATAGCAGCAGCTGCGTATATCCAGAATCGTTTACCCACACGGTCGGTGCACAAGACGCCCATGGAACTATGGTGTGGAGAAAAACCCAATCTTAGCCACCTGAAAGTGTTCGGATGTGAAGCGTTTGTTTACATTCCGGACACGAAGCAAGGCAAGCTGGAAAACCGGGCGGAAAAGCTCATCTTCGTCGGTTATGCTTGTGGATCAAAGGCCTATCGGTTCTTGGATAAGAAGACGAACAAAATTGTCATCAGTCGGGATGCCAGGTTCCTGGAACTCGGTTCAGAAATTCAGGAGGAGCCGCCAAGTGAAGCACTGAAGGACCAGTCGCCCGGAACAGGCCGCAAGAGACTGTTGAATCGGAAGGAAGAAGCAGTTCCAGAGAAACGGACGGTACGTCCGATGCTGGTTGAATTGCAGTCTGTGGCTAACGAGAGCATTGATGATGAATCGGATTTCAAAGATTTTCCTGAGGAAGAAGAAGAAGAATGCAGTGGTTTTTCCGGTTATTCCGATGCTGAGGAAGAAAACGATGATCAAGTCGGTCTGAGTAGACCGCTGCGAGAAAATGCAGGAGTGTAACCAGCAAGGTTTGAAGATTTCGTCGTCGGAATCGCCAACGTGGATGATCGGGAACCGAAGAACCACCACGAAGTGGTGAGCAGTGTTAACAGCGATAAATGGATCAAGGCGATGAACGAAGAATTCGACTCACTGTTATCCAACAATACGTGGTCGTTGGTGCCGTTACCAGTTGGTCGACAGGCGATAGGCTCGAAGTGGGTCTTCAAGAAGAACAAGGACTCCGCTGGAAAAGTGGTGCGATATAAGGCAAGGCTTGTTGCCCAAGGATTTGCGCAGCGATACAGCATGGACTTCAGCGAGGTGTTCGCGCCAGTCGCTATGCAATCAACATTCAGAGTACTGCTGACAGTGGCGGGTCATAGGAAGCTGCAAGTTCGTCACATCGACGTGAAGAATAAGTAACTGAATGGAGCATTAAGTGAGGACATTTATATGCGTCAACCCCCGGGATACACGGAGCTGGGAAATGAGGAGTTGGTATGCAAGCTGAATCGAAGCCTGTACGGGCTAAAACAAGCAGCCCGTGTGTGGAACACGAGGTTAAGAAAGTGCTTCTGGATTTGGGGTTCCATCAGTCAGAATCGGATGCTTGTCTGTTCTCAAAGCGGTTGGCTAACGGTGAGTGGATGTACTTGCTCATCTACGTCGACGACATGGTTGTGGTCTGCGTCAGATGGATTTGCTGGAGCAAGAGCTGTGGAAACATTTCGAAATCTCGTCGTTGGGAGAGATAAGCCAATTCCTGGGTACAAAGGTCCAAAAGCACAGTGATGGATTCTATTCGCTCAGCCAGAAGTTTTTCATTAGGGAAATCGCCAACCGTTACGGGCTTGATAAAGCCAAAGGATCGAAATATCCAATGGACACTGGATATATGAAACAGTCAGATGGTGAGCCACTTGCTGACAACGTACAATACCACAGTCTCGTTGGTGCGCTGTTGTACGTGGCCACGAACACAAGACCTGACATTGCAGCAGCCGTGTCGATTCTCAGTCGGAGTTGCAGCCGTCCGACGCAGCGGGATTGGATAGAGCTGAAGCGAGTTGTCCGATTCCTGATCGGTACTGAAGATTTGGTATTGCGACTTGGAGTTGAACAGGAAGATGGTTTGAAACTGGTTGGATACAGTGATGCAGACTGTCCCAGAGATGTTTCGGACCGGTATTCTACCAGCGGATTTGCTTTCATGCTGAGTGGAGCAACGGATAGCTGGTCAAGCAGGAAGCAGAACTGTGTTCTATGAAGCTGAATATGTCACACTCTCGGAGGCGGCACAAGAGGCAGTATGGCTGCGCCGACTACTTCGTGAGCTAGAAGAGGATCAGAAGCAGCCAACGTTGATCAATGAGGATAACCGTAGCTGCATTGACTTCGTTTCGTTGGAGCGGCAGAATAAGCGTAGCAAGCATATCGATACTAGGCACCATCATGCGAAGGATCTGTGCGCTAAGGGATTGATTCAGTAGGGATATTGTCCTACGGAAAGAATGGTTGCTGATGTTTTCACCAAGCCGTTGGGACAATTGAAGATGCAGCAGTTTGCAGCCGAACTCGGACTTGTGAAGCTGACTTGAGAAGAAGAAGGGGTCAGTGGATCAGCGAGGAGGAGTGTTGAGCGTTTAAAGTTACAACAGGGGCGCTGAGCCACTGAACTGAAGCTGTCAAAACAACGAAGAGAAAGTGTACCACCTTCTGCATTAACCTTTCTTGTTTTTCTAACGTCGCAATAAATAACACGTTCATCGTAATCAGTAAAAGTATATTTCACGTTATTTCTTACGCTGTGACGAATTCCTTGTGCTTAAATCGAACTCTGTGTGGGCCAATCCTGCCCACAAGCAACAGGTGCGATAGAGGGTCCAGCAACAACAGGAACTGTCGGATACGGCAATTTCGAGGCTAGTCCTAACTTCCCTCTAAAATACACATCTTCTACCAGTGCGCTCAGCTCCAAATTCTTCGGAGTCAGCCAGGTTTTCGTATTCCTTCTGCAGGTTTTGAGGCAGCTCGGGAACGTAGTCGGCGAGAAACTGGGCCAATCGATTAATGCCTTCGACGGCATTTCTTCTTTTGACGTCCTTCATCTTCAATCGCTCTTTGGGATGCTTCGCAAACAGCAGGGCTAAAAATGGTCGAAAAAAGACCCAGCACCGCAATGTTGAACGTAAGAGTATTAGAAAGGTACTCACAGTGTATCTCTTGAAATGAGGGCTTGTATTTTTAAATATATGGATCCAGCAACAAGTTCTCAAACGAGCACCAGTGACAATTTCATGATGATAATTTTGGGCCACTCTTATGTGGTGTAGCAGCAACGAAGTGAGCTGAGCTCCATTGCTGATTGTCAATAAATTTGAGAACGTACACTGAACGAAAACATCAGCAATACTTCGAATGATTATTGCATTGCTCGATTTAACAATATGCTTTCGAATTTCGGATGATTGCGATTGGAATCCAGCAGGACATCGCAGCAGAGCCAGACCCAGGGACTCATGGTGCCGGAGCCTCAACAAGGCAATCATGCAAGCCGACAGGAACTTTTACCGCAAAAGCAACCAGCCACCGAAATCTAAATCTCAATTTTAGATGCTCGAAAAGTCTCACACTAGCGAATCAATCTAAGAACATATCTCTTTCATTTCTCGCATCTACTTGCATCGTGCATCATCTTTTTGCAGGAAATCTTCAGAATCACCATCAATCTTCTTTCTATCAACTCAGCGTGTGCACAGCTAGCCACAGCAAAATAAAATCTGTTTTGATTCCGAAATCCAAAAACTAATAGTCCACTGCATCGGAATGCATGTTTGTATTTTTAAATTTGACAGGCCTAGCGAGTCAGATTGATTCTCACATTCTTGGCAAAATTCACACAATCTGTTCGCTTTAGTTCGGAGTCTTGTAGCACAACTCTTTTTTTGTGTTGTAGTAGTTGTTGCTCAAGCTGCAATTTTTATTAGGTTAGTTTAAGAACAATAGTTGTAATTTAAATCCACTTACATTTTAGTCTCCGCTTAGTTTTAAGCGAACAAATATTATTTTTATAAGTAGACTTAGGTATAAATACTGCAATTCCAATAGTTAAGTTAATTTTAAGTAAAGTATAAATACGGAAAAATCTTACAAAGAACTAATTGTGGAATAGCATTCACTCTTTACGAAATGTAAACTTTTATTATACTATCACCTAATCATCAGTCTGTCATCGCTACATCTTCATGACATGACATGGCTGTCATCTAAACGTCACCGCGGTCATCTGCGAGGCGTTGGTTACCGCAGTGGCTCACTTGCATACGAGGGGCTTGCACGTAACATCCTCCCCCTCATGTCGCCTCAGTTTCTGCTTTGGCGTCATCTTCCGGTTCCACATCTAGTAGTGCAAGCTTAATGACTGGTCTCCGTAGTGTACCACCCGAAGTCACTACCTCAGCTTGTCGCACGGTCCCATCCTTTCCAGGAAACGTACGCACTACCCGACCTCTCAACCACCTATTCCTGACCTTCTCATCCGCTATGACTACCAACTCACCCTCTTTGACTGGTCGCACATTTTGGAACCGCTTGGTCCTCCTTGTTATCGTCGGCAGATACTCGGTGATCCACCTTTGCCAGATCCTATCCAATGTGTGCTGCATCATGTTCCAACTGCTCCGCAATGACTCTCCTTCGCTTACAGGCTGCTTTATCGGTTGTTGTACTCCAGTTGAACTTAACAGCAGGAAGTGATTTGGGGTTATCGCTTCCTGGTCTGACGTCTGCAGCGAAACGAAGGTCAAAGGCCGAGAGTTGATCATTGTTTCCGCTTCTGCAAAGACTGTCACCAGCGATTCGTCATCCAGCTTACGTTCCGTGGGAACCATGACCAAAGCTGACTTGATGGACCGAACCATCCGTTCCCAGCAGCCTCCCATGTGTGGTGCTGAGGGTGGGTTGAACCTCCACTGCGTATAGGTGTCCGTGAAGGTACTGCTTAACTTCGCATTGATTCCCTCGATTTCCCTTTTCAGCTCCCGGCTGACCCCGACAAAATTGGTACCGTTGTCGGAGTAGATCTCTTGAGGGGCTCCACGTCGCGCAATGAACCTGCGCATTGCTTTTTTGCACGAATCGGATGACAGGCTGCTTGCTACCTCGATGTGTATGGCTCTAATAGTCAAGCACGTGAATACCACACCCCAACGTTTAGCTACGCTCCGACCAATTTTTACCAAGTACGGCCCGAAATAATCGACCCCGATGAAAGTGAAGGCACGTACATGCGGCGTTAATCTTACCGTTGGTAGCGGTCCCATCTTCGGTGCCACTGGAACGGACTTGTACACTCGACACCACATGCAGCGAGTCTTCGTCAGGCGTACGCGTGTTCTCAACTGAGATATGCAAAATCTTTGGCGAATTTCGTTCACCACTGTTTCATCGTTGGCATGACGAAAGTCACGATGATACCAATCCAGCAGTAGCATCACCACACGATGATCATGTGGTAGGATGATCGGGTATCTTGCATCGTACGGCAAATACTCTGCTGCACCGATCCGACTATCTACTCGAAGGATTCCGTGCTCATCCATCATCGGCGACAGCTTCGCAATTTTACTCGAACGCTCCAGTTTCTTTACTTCGTTCTCGGGTTCTCTGCTACGTTTCATCGTTGCCACCTCATCAGGATATGCGTCCGACTGTACCAGTATCCACAAACTGCACTCCGCCTTTTGCAATTCCTCTCGGCTTAATTCTTTCGCTGTAACTCGAACACTACCCGTGGACGCTCGACGTAGGTTGTCCAGGAATCGATGGACATACGCAATGCATCGCTTCAAACGCTCGAACTTAGAGAACCGTTCAAATTCAACTGTTGGCTTGACGATGAAATGCGGACAGACGAAAGCTGGTCGAAGTTCTTCGTTTGTATCTTCCACGTTTTCTTCTAACCACTCCCCGGCTTGGTCGTACAGGAATGCAGGTCCGCGATACCACCGGCTTTCGATTTCGGTTGATGGCCCTTTTCCCCACTTTGTTGCTTCGTCAGCTACGTTGGTTTTCGTTCCTATCCAATTCCATTCATCCACCGTAGACAAACTAAGAATTTCGTTGACTCTAAAAGCGACAAATTGGCGGTAGCGACGTGAATCCGACTTTATCCAAGCAATTACTGTTGTAGAATCACTCCAGAAAAAGGTGCGAGTTATCTTCACGGAATGATTATCTATGATGGCTTGTCTCAGACGAGCTCCTATTAAGGCCGCCATTAGCTCTAGTCGCGGCATCGAAAGTGTTTGCAGGGGTGCTACTTTGGTCTTCGATGAGACAAGGGTACATCGAACTTCTCCCCTGTCGACGATTCGGAAGTATGCCACCGCAGCAATGGCCTTATCGCTCGCATCGACGAAGATGTGGAGTTGGAGCGACTCGTAGCTGGCTGGCATGTATCCTGGAAAATAGCAACGACTGATCTTCACCTTAGTCATCTCTCGTAGAGCTATCAACCACTGATTCCAGCGGCAGAATATATCAGATGAAACCTTTTCATCCCAGCCGATGTTTTCTCTCCACGTATCTTGCACCAGAACTTTACCGTGGATAATGAAAGCTGCAATCAAACCGAGGGGATCGTAGAGACTCATCACAACGCTCAGTAGCTCCCGTTTAGTCGGAATAACTTCACCGTCTATGAGCTGCCGTAGTTCCTCACGAAAGTGCAGACCAAAGGAGAATACATCTTCTTCTGGAGACCAAATCATCCCTAGCAACCGCTCAAACCTACAATCTTTACCCACCGCAAATCGCTTAACCGCAGCAGGATTGGCTTCTCCGATGCGCTCGAGGACTTCCACGCTGTTTGATGTCCAGTTCCGGATAAAGAAATCAGCCTTCCCATGAATCGCTGCCACTTCGCTTGCTAGTTGAACCGCTTCTTCGATCGTGTCGACGCTGTCGAGGTAGTCATCGACGTAATGCTTGTTTTGTATCGCCGAGGCCGCTCTTGGATACAGCTCCCCGTGTTCTGCTGCATTTAGGTTCTTTACGAACTGCGATTGAACGGGTGAGCAGGTCGCTCCGAATATGGCCACGTCGGTTACCATTATCTTGATAGGCAGCTCCGGAGAATCCCGCCACAAAAACAGTAGAGCACTGCGGTCGACAGCGCGGATAAGAATCTGGAGGAACATCTCCATGATATCCGCCGATATTGCTACTTCGCGTTCACGGAACTGAAATAGAACAGCCAACAGTGAAGTCAGAAGGTCCGGGCCTTTCAATAGCTGGTCATTTAGTGAAATGCCCTCGACTTTAGCCGCCGCATCCCAGATGAGACGAACCTTGCCGGGTTTGTGTGGATTCACCACGATACCGAGAGGCAAGTACCACGTACGTCGTAGGTCGAAGCCATTCAACTCGTCCTCGGTTGACTCGTGCACATATCCTTTAGACAAGAATTCTGCTATCTGCCAGCGTACAGTATCGTACAATGCTGGATGCTTCTGTAGCCGTTTCTCCAGACATCTTAAACGCTTTTCTGCCATAGGCCAGCTGTCCGGTAGCTCGATATAGTCGTGTTTCCACAACAACCCTGTTTCGAACTTTCCGCTCTCAGTCCTTGCTGTAGTCTCTTTCAATATCTTCCGGGCCCGTTCCGCTTCAACTCCTTCCAAATTAGGTGCCAACGCAATCCCGAGGCTCTCTAGCGAAAAGAACTCCCGAACATATTCGTGTAGATCAGCGGTCGCAGCATGAGCGCAAATATGCATCTGCCGGTGTTTCAGCTGTTCTCCCCCTTGTATGCTTCCATATACGGCCCAGCCAATACGAGTCTTTGATGCCATAGGTTCTTGTGGACGACCTTCTCGCAGCTTCAGCGTGGCAAGGAGATGCGAATTGTTGAGCCCAATCAGTATCCCTGGAGTAGTAGACTTGAAGCTCTGTACAGGCAACTTCCTCAGGTGTTTGTATTGGTTTGTCATCTCATCGTAGTTCAGGGATTGCTCTGTGCGGAAATCTCCATCTGTACCATACGCGCGTCCGATATCTTCTTGTTTATGCCGCTAGTCCACTGGATGCAAAGTGGCTCCGTTTGCCCGTCCAGACCTAGAGAATCAGCAACTGTGCGTTCCACTAAAGTCACTGATGACCCGTCGTCAAGAAACGCAAACGTGTTGACCTTGCCGTATTTTCCGTATAGTGTGACAGGAAGCACTCGAAATAGTGTAAGTGGAGCTGATTTCTGATGCACAGTTACCGTAGCATTCGTTGTCCGGTCGGTTGTGCTTGAGTCCGCCGATGGTTCGTAGTGCAGCAAACGATGATGTAACTTGGAGCATCCGTTAACTCCGCATGCGTCTCCTTTGCACGGCCAACGAGGATGTGGCTTCAGACACCGTCGGCAAAGTTTGTGCTCCTTCACAATGCTCCAACGGTTATCAAGAGCGAGCCCCTTAAATTTTGAGCACTCATCACTCACTGGGCATTTCTTGATATCTTCAGGTCTCTTTCCACTCACATTCACGTATCGTTCCTTCCTTCCCGCACTATTATCTGCATTTGCCGCCGACGTGGAACCGTCTCTCGTCGTCGTCGAGTGCGCGTTCACGAAAGCTTTCTCCTTGGTTCTGGCACGTTCATCTCTGGGATTCTTCTTATCTTCAACTTATCTACAAGCTCCTGTAGCAATGTGGGATTTGACAGATGCCAATGCAGCCCAACCGCCTTCAGATGCCCGCACAGATTCTGTACGGCCAATCCGAAATTCACTAGTGTTTCCAGCTTGTCAGGTTTTGGAGGAGGAGTAGCTCTTATTTTTGTAATCATGGTGTGCACGATCTGCTCTGGACGTCCGAACAATATCTGCAACGTTGACACCACCTGCGGAACCGTGGATGGATGAAGTAAAAAGCTGCTCACTGCATCTCTAGCGGCTCCTTTCAATGCACGTTGAAGACGAAGAAGGTTCTCAGAGTCTGAATATCCACAGGCTTCCGAGGAATGTTGATAGCTGCTAATAAAGAGCGGCCAGTCAATGGGATCCCCAGCGAAGATGGGCAACTCTTTCGAAAGTACCTGCCGTGCAGCCAACTGTTGCTGTGTCAGACGAATCACATCGGGTTGAAAACCGCGACCATCAAACGGGGGATTTGGAGGACCGGGAATGGAATTCCCCATTTGACACACGCGTGGAGGAATAGGTGGGGGTATTATCGGTGGATAGATTGGTACAGAGTATGACGAGCGGACCCCGATTGGAGTCGGAGATATTGAGGGGTGGTAGCCATAATTGAGGTAGTTTGGTTGAGGGTCTATATTTATTACACTAGGAATAGGTGGTGCATCACTTACCGGATAGGGACTGTTAACAAACCTGTCATCCCTAATCCCTGAGAGCTCATCCGGCGCTGAATGTTGCTCCTGTTGCGAACGTGGGTATGCGTGAGGGTCGGGTCGCACTGGGGGTGGCTGATGCTGGCTCAACGATTCAAGTTGGTTCTTCAGCTGGTGTTCTGCAGCTCGTAGACGATCTAGCTCTGCATCACGTAGCTTCAATTCCTGCTGTCGTTTCACTTCCATGGCGGTCTGCCTTTCAGTAATCTGCTGCAACTGCTTTCTCGTATCTGCTTCCTTCTTGCGGAGGTGTTCCACATCCGCATCCTTCTGTAGCTGCAAACGCTTAATTTGCTGTACGAGTTCCAGCTCCCGCTTCCTTCGCATCTCGATGTCCTGCTGATGCCGCAATTCTACCTCGTTCGTTTTACGACGATTACCCGTTTCGCTTTGCCACTGGTCGTATGGTACCACTGCTCTTTTCGCCAGTTTTGGTACTGTCCCAGTGCGTGACACGACAGGCTTTGGCTCGTTCAGGATGATCTGCAACGAATGAAGGTCCACCAACGAAATGACATCTCCTCCAACAGCTCCGTCAAGCTCGTTTTCACCGATTGTGATACTGCCGGTTGTAAGGTCAATATCGTTGAAGTTAACAGGCTCGTTCTCCACAGGGAAAGATCCTAGCATTTCGCTTTGGATAGGAGTGGAAGTTCGTTGCTTGTCTGGAGCTTCGACCGAATTTAATGGCGTATGGCGAATTGGTTCGACTGGCTTGGACGTCTCTACAACGACGCCGGTACCAGTATGGCTGGTTGATTTCACCTGCTTGATGACCCAATCTTCCACTCGTTTCGCCGATGATCGGTTCGAACGATGACTCCTAAGACTCGCTATTTCGTCTTCCTCCTCTTGCTGGATGAGCAAATCGCGCTTTTTGGCTAGATAGTGCCTATCCCGTTCAATCCTCTCTTTTGCAGCCCTTTCGTTAATCAGCCTATCTCGTTCTAGCTGTTCCCGTTGAGCTTCTTCCTGCATCCTTTTCTCTTTCTCCAGCAATTCCAATTCACGGGCCAATCTAGCTCTCCGTGTACTCGAAGTACTTGATCGTAAAGTGACAGAGGTCGGTGGTGGTGCAGGATTACGAGCGAAGCATGTAACACACGTAAACAAATCTGTTAGCATTGTCTCGCTGCTCATATCGGCACAAGTGAGGTGATACCATTTGGTACACTTTTTGCACTGCACCCTACAACGTTCGGCGTTGTTTGTGCGATCACATCCAGGACACTCTTTGGCTTCTCCATTATCGACATCGACCGCTGACGTCGCACGTCTGGCCTCCGCAACTGTCTTTTCTCCGCGAGCAATGTCAGCCATTGTCGCCTCTCGTGCATTGTTAGACGCCGGAATGGTAGAATTACCCTGAACGACGCCATGGCTCTGCTGGTTAGCCGCAGCTGCTGCCATTTGTTTGGCTTTCGTTTGGGCACGCGTTCTCCGGGTCATTTCAAGATAAAATCTTGAGTTTTTGTTCGCTTTAGTTCGGAGTCTTGTAGCACAACTCTTTTTTTGTGTTGTAGTAGTTGTTGCTCAAGCTGCAATTTTTATTAGGTTAGTTTAAGAACAATAGTTGTAATTTAAATCCACTTACATTTTAGTCTCCGCTTAGTTTTATGCGAACAAATATGATTTTTATAAGTAGACTTAGGTATAAATACTGCAATTCCAATAGTTAAGTTAAGTATAAAGTATAAAGTAAAGTATAAATACGGAAAAATCTTACAAAGAACTAATTGTGGAATAGCATTCACTCTTTACGAAATGTAAACTTTTATTATACTATCACCTAATCATCAGTCTGTCATCGCTACATCTTCATGACATGACATGGCTGTCATCTAAACGTCACCGCGGTCATCTGCGAGGCGTTGGTTACCGCAGTGGCTCACTTGCATACGAGGGGCTTGCACGTAACACAATCCATCATCGTAGGAAATCCCTATTTCCCCTCCGAGACTGCCGCCCTCTATTTAGACGACAGATGAGGCTTCAAATGAGTATAAATACATGTACGAAAAACTTGACTCATCCAAAAATGATATTCATAAGCACTGATGAGCCGACACCAGTCAAGTTTTGTGTCTATATTCTCGAAATTGTATCTGAAATTAACATCTCTCCATTGTTATCATCATCATTCGGCGCTTCCACTGTACAAGTTTCGGAAGAAGGTAGGGGAGCAATCTGAAACTGAAACTAAAACTTGTAGTCATTCCCCGTTCCGTCGGCTGAGGGTATCTTTTTGTCTCAGCTTATTTAGTGTCATGTGATATTTAATATGCGAAAAGTTTTTGTCAAACACAGAAGATCTTAACTAGTTTTGCGTGCGGAAGGAACTTCTGTTCGATTCTCTGATTTCATTCCAGCACATTTAGATTCAAACATAAATATACGGAAAGCACCATCCATTATCCGTCATATTTAATAAATTCACCAAGGCTTGCTATGACACCCTTTTGCGGATGACACTTGCTGTGTGTGTGTGCCGTGGGTGGTGGCTGCTGAGACTGATAGTGATGCATGGGCATCCTCACCTCTCTCCACCTGGCGCCGCTGCTGACGGAGCTTTCAGGATTCATATTCACTGTGTAGCTACCAAGCGAGTGCGGCTCGCGATAATAAATATGCGAATAAATCGGTGTCGCTTATGGTTTTAATTGCACATTATTTTCCGCTGCCGTCGACGCTCGGCGCTGGAAAAGCGCATACCCTCACTCTCGTGCGCCCGAACACGTCGTTTTAAATTAATACTTTCCGGTGATATGAAAAAATTAGCACCCTTTTCGGGTGGCTCCCCCCCCCCCCTATCCCCTCCAGTCGAGTGCCACTGGAAAAAGAGTTATATTTTGCAACAATGACTGCTGGCTGCTGCTGCGTGTGTGTATACAAATTATGTACTTTAGGCCCATGGCGGCGTGGTGTTTCATAAATATGAGCCAACAACATAATGCACCACCAACTGGCGTTCATCGTGCTGGTCGTCTAGTATAGAGACTGTTATTGTGCCTGCCGAGAGGGTACTAATTTAAATTTGATTAATGTGCAACATGTTGATGATAAATACGGCCCAGTCCTGCATCATGTCGGCTATACAGAGTGCCAATATAAACTGAAGCATAGTAGGCAGGCAGCGCACGTGCTGCAATTAGTGGCATTTGCTTCTCAAACGTGGTGAATCCTTCTTCTTCTTACAGTTCTCCTCAGTTCCGTTCTAGTATCAGGTCATCCTTGAGACGGAAATTTCGGAAGCTCACACGCGCTTGCTTTGATCGCCTCCTACTATAATCGCACCGCAGCACCAAAAACCCAGGAAAACCCACAGGGGAGAGATAAATTCGATGACCAGACAGGTAAATTGAGTTAACACCAGGGCAATTAATTTTGGTCAACCCAATTCGGTGGCAGTATCGGTGGCAGTGGATGCTTTTTCCGACCCACAAGCTGAGCTGGGATCCGGAGCATGTGTGCGGAAGCGTTTTTCCTGGTCCAATGAATTGGGTGGGTTTGCAGTTAAGTGGAGATGGTTCATAATTAATGGTAATCGATTTAGGTATTCAAACGTGAAAATAAATTAGACGGAACGTTG